AAAAAAAAAGAACACACAATCTGTGAAGAGAAGCATCTGCTACTTAACTCCAGTCAGTTGCATCCAGTCCTTTTCACTGAAAACCATATGGCTTTCCTGAAAAACCAAACCCAACCCACCCAACCAGCCAGAAACAAAAAAACCACACCACAAAATAACTGCCCGCAAATAGAAGTTGTATTTTCTGCTAACAGTAAGAACAGGTAAAAAAAAAAGACCAATTTTTATTAGTTCATCAAAGCTTACAGTGTCCACAGAGTTGTGCATTAAAGGACACATAAGTATTTCATAGGTCAGTGTAGGAATTCAAAACATGACTATTGTAAAGCAGGTAATCTGACATTTTATTTTCCTTCTATCTAAGGTGGAACTGAGTGTAAGGGGGCACGCTGGTTGGAAAATTTTACCTTTTGTCTGCTGAGTCTCCCCATTTTTTTTTTTTTAATTTTATTTTTTTAAGTAGCAAGTTTGGTGCTTTTAGCAAATATTCTAGTTCAGACCAAAAGTGTAATGGCACTTACTACAGTTAGATAAATTGATAAATAGATAAATAGATAAATACAGTGTTACAGACACGTACACAAGTTTGTAATTTAATCTTTACGTTGTGCAAGACTAGATGCTACCAAAAACTGTAATTTCAAACGGTTCTTACGCAGCAACTGTGTGTGTAAACAGTAACAAAGAAAAAAATGAACAGTACAACATTTAAAACTGCATCTGAAAACAAGCAAGCAAGCGAACAGGATTCTGCAATTCATTTGTCGCTGTTACAGAACACGCTTTTTATTACTTCGGCATTTTCAGTATTCATCCTCTTCTTCAGCCTCTGCTTCTACAGAGTCTATCCCAACTTCTTCATAATCTTTTTCAAGGGCAGCCAGATCTTCCCGGGCTTCGGAAAATTCTCCTTCCTCCATTCCTTCCCCAACGTACCAATGTACAAAGGCACGTTTGGCATACATCAAATCGAATTTATGGTCGAGACGAGCCCATGCTTCAGCAATGGCAGTGGTATTACTCAGCATACATACAGCTCTCTGCACCTTTGCAAGGTCGCCACCTGGCACCACAGTTGGAGGCTGGTAGTTAATGCCCACCTTCAAGAAAACAAGTGAGAACGTCTTTAATTACTGGGAAGCACTGAAGACTTATTTCTGTTAACAACAACAGTAGCCACAACTGTGAACAATTAAATAAAATTATTTTGCGCTTCATCAAAATATTTAACTAAATCCTAAATTCAGGATCTGGTCAAACTGGTCCAGCGTTAGCTACATTGGCCTAGAGGTTATTTTTCCAACAGATCATAAGAGCTTACTGGACTCTACAAAGAACATAAGAATCTAGGTCTTTGCAAGTCCTGAATGCATGGACAGTAGCTGGAAGGATGGACCTCTTGTCCGGAAGGTGACACTGCCAGTCAACTGAGAACAAGCAGAAGTAGCTGAACAACCTGATATTCATCTAGTAAAAGGCGACTTACAGGAGCCTATGTTTAAATGAATCACAACGAAAAAAATAGGTTTGCTCTAGTGATAGCAGTCAGGCTCCACATGTCCGGAAACTGATAGCGTCTACCACTTCAAGGTATCTCCAAAACATTGTTGGGAAATTACTGCACTGAATTCAATAACTTAATGTAGTGTTTCTACATTTGCTTGGGGCTTGCCTATATTCCTCCTGTACAAAGCTCCCGAGATTTTTGAAGACTTGCAGTAAAACCTGGCATTGCTTTTCAGTACTACCTGCTTGTAAATTATTTTCAGACACTCAGTACTGCCTGTTCCTACAAAAACCGTGACTGCTATTCTGTAACTTGTTTTAGAATTTTCATCTGAGTTAAAATATCAGGGAATTATATTTAAGAATATAATCTGAAATGTAAGCAGTTC